CCCCTGCCAGTACAGCGGTGGTGTGGGAGCCTCTCCTGCCTCCTCAGCAGCGCTAAGGATGTCCGACTGCAGCTTAGGTCTGCTCCCCGCTGGCAAATGGACATCCCCTGAAGGCTGTCGGGCTGCCAGAGGGATGTCTGATTGCCAAGGCTAGTAAAAGGACCTTGGTGTGCAGCTTGGTCCTTTCTACATGCACCCAGACATGAGTCACTTAAAGAGACTCATGCTGGTTTCTTCAGCTAGGTTTAAGCTCCACAGGGTGGGATGAGAGGGATTCCAATGGGTGGGGCTATTGCTTCCCCCCAGGCTGATGCTGTATGAAGGGGAATGCTTTGCTTGAGAAAGATGGCTTCTGTAGTATGGGAGAATGACTCAGCACAGGGATCCTAGTGGCTGACCTCTCAGCTCTCTTCCCAGAGCCACAAACCCTGGTCTCTCCTATGCAGCTCTAGTCCACTCTGCCCTCCCTCCGTAGGAGCCAACAATTAAATTTTCCTAGTATACTTCTCTAGTCAGATATTCTGTAGTAACCCAAAATTTTATATGTCATTTGAAATAATACTCATCATCTCTTTCTCATCTTTATTCTGCTTTTCCCCTTCTTTATTTTAAACTTCCCTATGTTTTTATTACACAGTACTCTTAGGCAGTCACTTTAAGTAATAGCAGCTTCTTTGCATTCACTTTCATGAAGATATTCCATATTTAATTAGTCTTCAAGTTCCAGGAGTTCCTTCTGAGTTTCTTTCACACCTGTGCTCTCCATTCTGTTCTATGCTATTTGGGTTTAGGGCTTCATCATTTCTCACCTAAATGGTTTCCTAGCTGTTTCTCTTTGGTGTCGTCTGTCTTTATTCTAATCATTTGTGTGTGTGTTTTTTGCTCTGACTCACCCACATATATTGTTTTTATGTTAAGAAAATAAAAACTCAAGTTTTAAAAACTGATCATGTCTTCTAAGAGAGCAGGGACCAGTTCTTATTTTTCTTTTTAGCTGTACTACCCTTCTTCTTTGTACCCGGCATGTAGTAGGCCTATGTTGAATGAAAATGGATACTGTGTTTGAATCTTTACTATCTTGAAAATACTGGTTGCTATTCTTTTACTGTTTAATTTTGATGTTTTTAAGTCTACCAAGTAACTGGAAGCATTAAAGATCCTGTGCATTAAAATATTAAATTAAAAAAGAACTAACTACTGTTTTAAAGAAGCTTTGTAGTATTTTTCTGTCAAAAATGAAGTGGCTGTTCATTGGTAGGTCCAAGCAAAATTTATATAGTGTATTATTATAGTATATATGCCAGTTTTCCTGACAATAAAATAATAATTAGTATTATTATTGTTGCTATTTTAGTTTAGATTGCAGGAAACTTGATGTTATGTAATTTTAGTAGTGTAATTTGTTTGACTATACCAAGACAGTACTAAATCTGATACTAATCTGCTTATTATTTAAAATATTTCTAATTTTCCTTTAGGACCAGTTTGGACAACATATAAAATCAGATGTGCACTTGAATTTTTATGTTTATTATGGTCCTGATCGTATTAGAGACCCTGCTTTGCTTTCAAAACAGGATATTGTTTTGACTACTTACAATATTTTAACTCATGATTATGGAGTAAGTATACGGGTACTCAGAGATTTTCAAAAGTTTAATTTAAGAAATATGCTTCAGGTTTCTCAAGTGTTCTAAAATGTAAGCTTCAAACTTTTTGTCTTTCTTAATACTTAAGAATACACAGTAAATAAACAGGAATTTATGTTTTAATATTATGCAAAAGAAATAGTTGCCCTTTAGATATTAATGTAGGAATACATTCCATTTAGAACACTTAAAAATCAATTTTTAAATTTGAATTTAAACTAACTACATAACAATTTGTAAATGAATTTTCTTTTAACTATTATAGAATATTATTTTCTCTCACAATGATTTGATATTCTCAGTTTAAAAATAAGCTTTTTCGTAGCTGGAATTTATGTTTCCCAATTTATGTAAAAGTTTAATTGTTGTTTGCCTATAATTCCAGTTTTTAAGTTATAACGTTTTTGAAAATACCTTATTATGAAAATTTCAGTCTTTTTAAAATTATTAAATATATTTTTATTGATTTCAGAGAGGAAGAGAAAGGGAGAGATGGAAACATCAATGATGAGAGAGAATCATTGAATTGGATGCCTCCCGAATGCCCCCCACTTGGCATCAAGCCTGAAACTTGGGCATGTGCCTGAGCTGTGTATTGAACCATGACCTCCTGGTTTATAGGTCAACACTCGACCACTGAGCTACAATGGCCAGGCAAAATTCCAGTCTTCTGATAAGCACATTTACTTTTACATAAAAGAAAGTAGTTATGTTGTATTCAAGTATTTCTTTGATAATTTTTAGATTAACAGTATATAGAGGTCTGGTGCACGAAAATTCGTGCACTCAGTGGGGGGTTCCTCAGCCCGTCCTCTGCCCTTTCACAGCCTGGGACCCCTTGGGGGATGTCTGCCTGCTGGCTTAGGCCCGCTCCCCACGGGCCTAAGCCAACAGTCAGACTCCCTCTTGTAGTCCAGGAGCCCTCACTCCTTACTGCCTGCCTGCTCACTGCTTCTTACCACTCAGCTTGCTGCTTCTTAGTGCTGCCTCAGAGGCGGGAGAGGATCCTGCCACCGCTGCTGCACTTGCCCAGCTTCTGGCTGAGCTGTGCTCCCCCTATGGGAGCTCACTGACTATCAGAGGGCAGCTCCTGCATTGAGCGTCTGCCCCTGGTGGTCAGTGCATGTCATAGCAACCAGTCGTTCCAGTGTTCAGTCAATTTGCATATTACCCTTTTATTATGTAGGATTTTAATCTGAGGCAGAGTACTTCAGTGTACTGAACCAAGATCACAGCAGATCAAGCCTGGTTTGATTACCTGGCTTTGAATGCTAGCTCTTCCACTTCCTAGCTGTGATACTTTGAACAATATACTTCACATCTTGGTGCTTCAATTTTCTCATCTGTAAAAAAAGAGTAATAATACTTCATAAGCTTGTAAACATTTCCTAATTTAATGTATGCAATGCTTAAAGCCATACCTAACACATAGTAAGTTGATATTGAGAATACTAACTCATATTACTTATCTAATTACATAAACTACTATTTTACTTTCTTATGTTTTTCATTCATATGAAACATTTATTTCAGATGAAAGGTGATAGTCCATTACATAGCATAAGGTGGCTAAGAGTAATCCTGGATGAAGGACATGCCATACGAAATCCAAATGCTCAGCAGACTAAAGCTGTGCTTCATTTAGAAGCAGAAAGAAAATGGGTATTGACAGGTAATGATAGCATTACACTTTTTAAAAAATTAATTCCCAAATATGTATTGTTAAGTGAGTTAGTGAGGTAACTTTGTAAACTTCAAGTGGATATAAAGACTGTTCCAATATTAATCCTAGCAATCATTTAATAAAATATTTGAGTTGTTCAGTTTATGGGACAACTAGACTTATTCTTGAACTGTGGATATTTATTAGACTAGAGGCCCGGTGCACAAAAATTTGTGCACTCAGGGGTATGGAGTCCCTCAGCCTGGCCTGTGCCCTCTCACAGTCTGGGACCCCTTGGGGGTGACCACTTGCTGGCTTAGGCCGGCTCCCCGGGGGATTGGGTCTAAGCTGGCAATCAAACATCCCTCTGGCAGTCCCGCAGCCCTCGGGTGATGCCCACTCACCAGCAGGGAGAAGACCTAAGCTGCAGTCAGACATCCTTAGCGCTGCTGAGGAGGCAGGAGAGGCTCCCACCACCACTGCTGTACTGGCAGCCATCAGCCTTGCTTGTGGCTGAGCAGAGTTCCCCACTGTGAGAGCACACTGGCCACCAGAGGGCAGCTCCTGCATTGAGCGTCTGCCTCCTGGTGGTCAGTGTGTGTCATAGCGACTGGTCGTTCTGCCGTTTGGTTGATTTGCATATTAGGTTTTTATAAAGAGCTGGGCTGCGGCAGGTGGGGAACCTTGGCTTCCTCCATTGCCGGGGCAACCAAGCCTCATGTTCGCTTCAGCTGCATGTCTGATGGCCGCCATCTTTGTTGGCAGTTAATTTGCATATCCTGCTGATTAGCCAATGGGAAGGGTAGCAAAGTTAAGGCTAATTACCATGTTTCTCTATTATTAGATAGGATATTTTAATCCTTCAATTAGAATCTTGATTTCTCTACTTGCCATTTTGGAGTCTGCTTTACTAGAGGATGGGGAAAATCATATTAGTTTTTGCTTTCTTACTAGTGCTGTTGATTTAAAAATCAAGTAAGCAATGGATTGGAAGAATTAACATCATTAAATGTCCAAACCACCCAAAGCAATCTGTAGATTCAATGCATTCCCTATTAAAATACCAAGGGCATATGTCACAGATCTAGAACAAATACCCCCAAATTTTATATGGAACCAAAAAAGACCCCGAATAGCCACAGCAATCTTGAGAAAGAAGAACAAAGTTGAAGGGATCACAATACTGGATATTAGGTTACACTACAAAGCCATTGTAATCAAAATAGCCTGGCACAAGAACAGGCAAATAGATCAATGAGACAGAACAGAGAACCAGAAATCTACCCAAGCCATTAAGCTCAATTAATATTTGATAAAAGAGGCAAGAGCATACAATGGAGTAAAGACAGTCTCTTCAATAAATGGTGTTGGGATAATTGGGCAGATAAATGCAAAAAAAATGAAACTAGACCACCAACTTAAACCAGACACAATAATAAGCTCAAAATGGATAAAAGACTTAAATGTAAATCATAAAACCATAAAAATCTTAGAAGAAAACCTAGGCAGCAAAACATCAGACACCTCACATAGTGGAAATTTCACTGGTATATCTCCTAGGGCAAGAGAAACAAAGGAAAAAAAAAAAAAAAAAGTGGGACTCCATTAAACTAAAAAGTTTCTGCACAGCAAAAGAAACCACCATCAAAATGAAAGGGAACCAACCAACTGTATGGGAGAAATATTTGCCAATGATACATTTTATAAGGGGTTAATATCTATACACTTCCAAAAAAAAACACATACAGTTGGCCAGGAGACATGAAAAATGTTAAAAGTCACTAATTGTCAGAGATGCAAATTAAAATGACAATGAGGTACCACCTCACACCTGCCAGAATGGCTACCATCAATAAATCAACAAATAACAAGTGCTGGGGAGGATGTGGAGAAAAAGGAACCCTAGTATACTGCTGGTGGGAATGCAGACTGGTACAGCCACTATGGGAAACAGTGGAGTTTCCTCAAAAAAAGTAAAAATGATGCTGCATTTTGACGCAGTGATTGATCCACTTCTAGGAATATATCCTAAGAATCCTGAAATGCCAACCAGAAAGAATGTATGCACCCCTATGTTCATAGCAGTGCTATTTACAATAGCTAAGATCTGGAAATAGCCTAAGTGCCCATCAGCAGATGAGTGGATAAAAAAGCTGTGGTACATTTAGACAGTGGAATGCTATGCAGCTGAAGAAAGAAGGCTCTGTTTCCTTTTGAGACAACATGGAGGGACCTGACCATTTTCATGTTAAGCAAAATAAGCCAGTCAGAGAAAGACAAATATCACATGATCTCACTTGTGGAATCTAATGAACAAAATAAACTGATAACTAAAATAGAACCAGAGGCATGGAAACATGGAACAGACTGACAAATAGAGGGGAGGAGATGTGGGAAGAGAATTTATATGTGCATAACCCAGGGACATACACAATAGGGTAGTGAAGCCCTGGTGCAGGGTGGGAACTGGATGGAGGGGAGCAATGGAGGGAAGAAAAAAAAAAAAGGTATGACACCTGTAATACTCTCAATAATAAAGATTTTTTTTTAAAGTCAAGGAAATTTTCTAGGTAAGGAGAAAGTTGAGTTTAGTGGGTCTGTAGTCTTTTTTTATTTGTTATTATGGCAAATGAGAGCTAAAAATTAGAGCAAACTGTATTTTGAGATTACATATATGTCTAAGAAGGGACTATAGTCACAGGTTGATGGTGGGTGTGCCTGGTACAGAGTGTCCATTTTGAGCTATTGTCTCAATTCAGCTAGATAGATATACTGATTGGATATTCTAGTTATAGAATTGTAACTATTTCATGTTATTTTTAGGTACTCCAATTCAGAATTCTTTAAAGGACTTGTGGTCTCTTCTTTCCTTTTTAAAACTAAAACCATTCCTTGATAGAGAGTGGTGGCATAGAACAATACAGCGACCTGTCACAATGGGAGATGAAGGAGGACTTAGGTAAGTAATTTCATGATAACTGATTTGTTACAAATAACTGTTAGCAGCTTGAACCAATTTCCACTTTCATTACTATTTAACTTGGCTATTGGCTTTAATCTCCAAAAAGTGTTACCACTTTATGCCTTTGACTCTCAGAACCTAGTGATTCTTGTTTGGAGAGATAAAGATTTAAGTAGTGACAGGAAAAACTTTATAGGCCCTGAGGGTCCAAAATGCACTCAAATTTCATAACTTACCTTGTATAGCTTTATACAGTGGTAATTTAATGATGGACTGATGTACAGTGGCATCAACAAGAGTTTCATAAGAGAAAGTTATTTCTGGTGGAGATAGGTAAAAGTTAAGAACATAAATAAAATTCAGCTTGGCAATAGCCATTTTTACAAGGTACTAGGCTAATGTATTTTAACTTTTTTGCCTAGAATATTGTTTTTCAAACAGAGGTTTTGAGATTATCTAGCCGGTTATGAAATTACTTAAAGAAGAGGGCAGCTAGCATTATAAGATTAAAGAAAAAAGCAGAGTGCATCACACATGGTATTTTATGGAATGTTTGTTTCTGTTGTATGTGTTTATATGTTTGCTGAATGGACTGAAATTTGTTTCTTACTCTGGGTTTTAGTGAAAAAGATTCAAAACCCACTAACCTAGCTTGTAATACCGCCTCTTTGATTCCTTTAAATCAGCTATTTAAATTCTAATTTAAGAAATGGTATTTATATTTCAGTGTTAGGAAAAACCTTTTTAAAAAAAATTGGCATGCCTCCTTTTATTCGGATACTGAAAAGGGGGAGTGTCATATCATAGAACCTATAAGGCATTTGTCCCTCTTCTGGGTTGTTATATTGTGTTATTTTTTTCATTACTTAATAAAATTTATTTATGTACATTGATTTTCATGTTACTAAAATACTTTTTGAAGGTGTTATATTTTTATGATATTTAGTTTAATTCCTTTCACTTAATAGGTGCTTATTAAGAATGTGAGTATTGAATATGGGTGATGTAGCTGAAGAACAGAGAAGTAAAAGGGTTAGAAATTAGAACAAAAATGGGGAGAAGAGTAGAAATTTTCAACTGTGTGACAGGTATTGAATTAGGGAAAATTTCAATGTATTTGTTGCTGTAATTTTCTGTTTGTAGAATATATTTGTGATGATCAGATTGGATAAAAGTCCAAGTAAGAGATTAAAAAAGGAATCCTTTGCTAAGGTTATAAAATGGTAATAGTTTAAAATATTCTTTTTTGTTCTTATTGAATCAACTTATATAGAAATAACAAATTATGTAATTATTTGTTTTATTTTTCTAGGCGTTTACAGTCCCTAATTAAAAATATTACACTTAGAAGAACCAAGACAAGCAAAGTTAAAGGCAAACCTGTTTTGGAGTTGCCAGAACGTAAAGTATTTATTCAGCATATTACACTTTCAGATGAAGAGAGAAAGATTTATCAGTCTGTGAAAAATGAAGGCAGAGACACTATTGGAAGGTATGGAGAAAACCATTTTAGAAAATAATTTTTGTTTTGCTTTTTTTTTTGCTTTCCATTTAATGCAATAGCAATCTTAAGATATGTCAGCAATAACGTCTGAAGCATACTGAAAGATAATCTGCTTTCTTTAACTATATTTTAACTACTTTTTATGAGTTAATAATTGAAGTGAATGAATATTATAATTCACCAGGTTATTTCTTTTTTAAAAAATATATTTTATTGATTTTTTTTTACAGAGAGGATGGGAGAGGGATAGAGAGTTAGAAACATCGATGAGAGAGAAACATGGATCAGCTGCCTCCTGCATACCCCCTACTGGGGATGTGCCCGCAACCAAGGTACATGCCCTTGACCAGAATCAAACCTGGGACCCTCCAGTCCGCAGGCCGACGCTCTATCCACTGAGCCAAAAACGGTTAGGGCTCTTTTTATTTTTTATTTATTGATTTTAGAGACAGAGAGAGAAATATTGATGTGTTGTTCTAATTTTTTATGAATTCATTGGTTGATTTTTGTGTATTGGGAGGATGCTCTAACCAAATGAGCTACCTGGACAAGGCTTTTTTTGTTTAAATTAATTTTTTAATTGATTGAAGAATTTCTTAAGTTAGGAAAAAATTCAAAGTTTACATGAAAAGGCAAGTTCTGATTGCTTGCTTCTACTTCCAACTGTTTCATGGGAGTAGATAAAAACAATGAGAGAAGTATGTATATAGGGAAAGTATACCTATTAAGGACCAAAACTTGGGGGATTGTCCACATTCAAGAAAGAAATAAGTAAATAAAAAAAAAAATAAGGGAGATTCCAGCAAGTGGAGAAGTGTGAAGAAAGTAGAAAACACTGTTATAGAATTTTAGGAAAGAGGAGAATCCAGAGAGAATGATCAGTAGTGTCACAGTACAGACATTTGGAAAAGGCTATTTAATGTGGTGATTCAGAAATTATTGGTGTAAACTCTCAGAGTAGTTTTACTAGAATAATGAATTAAGTAGCTATATTGTAGGACTAAGGAGATTGCAAAGAAGTAGCAGCTTATAGGGGTGGACAATTTTTTACAAAGTTTGTAAAAGTGAGACTGGTAGATAGGATCTGTATTTTGTTTGTGGATCAATTATTTTGATAGTTTTATTCGGTAACTGTCTTGAGAGGGAATTATTTTGATAGTTTTATTTGGTAACTGTCTTGAGAGGGATTGAACATAGAAAAGATTACAGGTACAAAAGAGAATGAAGCAAATTGATGGAGATGAACGGAGCCTGGGGTGGTAAATACTAAAAAGAATAGTAAGAGAACAATCATTGAGCTGTAAAACCAAGGTATATGAGATAAGGAAGACCACCATAAAAAAGTAAGGTTTTTAGAGTGGTAGAAAAGTTTCATGTGGTATTTTCTAATAACACGTGGAAATCTAGAAATAGGAGTTGGCCAAGTAGATTAAAGGGGTTGGGAATTAGAAGAATGTGAGAAATTCTAGTCCAAGCAAGGGCATGGTTGATGTTAAATGCCCATAGGAACCAGAATGAATAGGAGATAAGTGAAGGCAAAACAGGGCTCAGAGAATAGGGGAATCTACAAAACGTAAAGAATTTAGGTGAGTTACAAGGTGGGTTTAATAGGAATTAAAGATATTAAGAAAGATTGTTCTAAGCAGGTTTCAAAGTAAAGAGGCATAGAGCAGTTAGGTAAAGTCTATTGTGTCACACAGCTAGTGAATGACAGAGTGGTATTTAAGCTCAGGCATTTTGGTTCTAGAGCTAATAAGTTTAACCTTTATAATATACTGCCTTCCATTCTTCCATTCTTGAGTACTTAGAAGTATTTGTACCCATAATATCACTGTTACTAGTAACAGCAGATATTTTATATCATTTACCATAGCCAGTATTCTAAATACTCTGCATTTATTAACTTTTTATGACAACAGTCCTCTAAGGTGCGTATTATTACTGTTATGTCACTATTACAAGCCAAGGAAGCTCAAGACAGAGATTAAGAAACCTGCCCAAGGTTTTGCCCTGGCCAGGTGACTCAAATGATTGAAGCATGAAAAAAAAATCAATAAATAAACTAAGATAAAAATAAAAAGGAACAGAAACCTGCCAAAGTTCATAGTTAAATCAGCAGAGTAAGTTTTTGAATTCAAGACAAGTCTAGCTATAGAGTCTGTGCTCTAATCATTAGGCTAAATTTCTTTTTATTTTTTTAATTTTAAAAGTATATTTTTATTGATTTCAGAGAGAAAGGGAGAGGGAGAGTTAGAAACATCAATGATGAGAGAGAGTAATTGATCAGTTGCCTTCTGCACACCCCACACTGGAACTCTCTTGCTCTTTGCTGTTTGTGACTTAATAGATGAATGTTTTGAGTTTCTTCTGGATTATCTATTTGCAAGAGATTCATATGAAGGGGACGGGGTCAAAACTGTGCCCAGACTGGAAGGAAATATCTCTATTTAGTTATGACTTAGGGTTACATGTGAGTTCTTTTAGGTTTTATTTGTGCTCATATACCAGATCAGAAGCTTTAAGTTTCTAATAGTGTGGAATACTGTGTCCATAGTCTTTTCTGTGTGTTTCCTTATTCAGCTTACCTTCCCTCCTTCTTGGTGTAAAACTTGTATAGGGAAATTCAAGCCACTAGTTGTGCACCTGGTTTTGGTTTTTGCACATTAGAGAAGTTTATTTCACCCCAAGGCATGTGGTCTATTTTGAAGAACTGCTTGGAAGGTCTGTTGAGAGCTGCAGTCATGTCTTTTGGCATCTTCCTATCCGACTCATACTGCAGTTGGCAGCTATTTCTCTTATATTTTGCTTTTTTGTTATAAACCATTCCTGGTTTTATTAAAAATAGAGTTTGCTTTTTTGGTTTTTATTCTTGTTTTATAATTTCTGGAGAATAGAGCAATGAAATTTTTATTCTACTGTTTTAGAATAGGAAACATTGTCATATTTAACATTTTTACCTGTAGGTATTTTAATGAAGGGACTGTCCTTGCTCACTATGCAGATGTCCTGGGTCTTCTGCTCAGATTGCGGCAGATCTGTTGTCATGCTCACCTTCTTACCAATGCAGTGTCTTCTAGTGGTCCCTCAGGTAAGTAATTAGGGCTTGTTTACACCATTTTATTTGTTAGAGATACTTAAATCAGAAGGAGAAATTTTTCATATACCTAAATTTAATTTGTCATAGACATTGTTTTTAATATAGAACTCAACTGGGAATATACCCCAAAATCTTATACTAATGAAATGGGATATTAATGAGTTCTTCCACGATTTTCACTAATCGATATTCTTGGATCTACATTTTATTCTGTGGTAGTATGTGCAGATTGTGTTAAAACGATGCTCTGTGCAAGGTGTATTATGTGAGTTGGCTACTATTTTAGCTTCTGGATTTTTCTTAAAATTTCAAATTTAAACCATGCTTTTTGCCTTTAATAGAAAAAGACTAAAACTACCAAAGCAAACCTTTCTCCTGTATAAGGAAGATTCACTTGTCTAGTCATATTACAGATTTGCTCTGAAATTAATTTTTCACCCTTTTTTCTAGGAAATGATACACCTGAAGAACTACAAAAAAAGTTAATAAGAAAGATGAAGTTAATTCTGAGCTCAGGTTCCGATGAAGAATGTGCAATTTGCTTGGATTCATTAACAGTTCCTGTCATAACACACTGTGCACACGTCTTCTGTAAACCCTGTATTTGCCAAGTCATCCAGAATGAGCAGGTTTGTTTTATGCTTCATACAGAGTCAGTGTTTGATGGAGTGACGCATTAGTTTGAATGTAATGGAAACTCAAGTCCAATAGACTATAAGAGTTTTGCACTTGGATTTACTAATGTACTTTTCATGGTTAATTATATCATTGTTTTAATAGGTGATATATTTCTTAAAATTGAAAGCTTTCAACCTAAAAAGACATTATGTGTTTGGTGGCATAATTATTTACATCATTGCTGTCCAATAAATATATAATGTGAGACACAAAGGTAATTTTCATTTTTTTAGTAGAAACAGATGAAGTTACCTCTTAGAATATATTTTTATTTATTTAGTATATCTAAAATATAAAAATTGTTGAGATACTTTATATATTTTTAACTTAAAACTTTATTAATACAATTTAAGTTCAAATTCCAGTGGTATTGTGTACACGTATAGCACATCTAAAATTTGACTTTGTCACATTTCAAGGGCTCAGTTGTTACATGTAGCTGTTGCCTATGGTTGATTAAGGTACATCTAGATTCTTATGTGTGGTAGAATTTTTTGAAGTAAAATAATCCTTTAAGCAGCCCTTCCACTGAGATAGAATTTTGAAAAACAATTTTGCTGTGTAACATACATATAGAAAAAAATGTACAAGTCATGATTGTACAGCTCAGTAAATTATGCGTGAACACATCCAAGTAAATACTACTTAGGTCTCCTTGGGCTCCTCCCAATCATTTACCCTCTCCCTCCTCCTTAAAGGTAACCCTGACTTCTCATATTGTTTTAGTTTCAGAATCTTTTTTATTATAATGATATTTGGTATGTAGTTACTTAAGAGATAATCTTATTTTATTATCATGTCTTGGTACAAATAGACACAACAGATACTATTTTGAATGAACCAATAGGACTTAACAGATCTAGACTGGCTCTCCAAGCCATTAAGGAGGAAAATTTTTTCCCTTCTAAATAGTTTGAACTGGTATTCTATATTGTAGTTAGGTTGAAGAAACTGTTACTTATGTTTTTTATTTTACATGTCTGTAGATAGTATATCATTTATTGTTTCAAGTTCTTAATGTTAGTTGAGATCACATATTTTATTCTCTTTTTTTCCCATATCACTGACCACATCAGCCTGGAGTTCAGCACATATGGATTTGTGTCATGGGTGAATCTGATAAAAGGTTTAATAAAATGCTAGTTATTAGAGACATAGAATTGATAAAGCTTTTTAAAAATTCTAGCTAAATTTGTATTTCTGCTCCTCTGATAAGTGTCACTCATACTTTGTTCTTTCTTATGTAGCCACATGCTAAATGCCCTTTATGCAGAAATGATATACATGGAGACAATTTATTAGAGTGTCCTCCAGAAGAACTGACATGTGATACTGAGAAAAAGTCTAACATGGAATGGACATCTAGCTCGAAGGTAAAATATTTGGTTATTTGTTTATGTCAATGTAAAGAAATACCATGTATAAGACTAATAATTATCCTTTAAATTCGTCATTTGAATATTATACTTTTCAGTGACTATTGGCTTTTTAATTTTTAGTGGTGATTTTCAGAGGAAAAAGGTTATGAAGTATTCTTTCAGTCTTAATTTTTAAAATTGATGTTCTTCTACTTTTGGATTTTAGGGAAATAACATAGCACTTTTCTCTTCATAATAAAAAATTTTGGATGCGTTTTGCCAATTCAAAATGGAACCTAATGGGTGTCCAAATTTTTTTCAGATCAATGCCCTAATGCACGCATTGATTGACTTAAGAAAGAAGAACCCCAACATAAAGAGTTTAGTTGTTTCTCAGTTTACAACGTTTCTGTCTTTAATAGAAACACCACTCAGGTAAGTTTAACAGTGTTCCTCACTTTTAGTAAAAGATTTTTATATATGTTTTGATTTGGATAACAAAAAATACTTACGTTTTATCAGTTTTATTCATTCATCTATCTAAAATAAATTTCAGAATCACAATAAAGAATATTTCCTGAGTGCATGGGATTTTAAAGATTAAGTCTGAATTTACTGAAAAAAAATTGACTGCAGAGCCTTACATTGTAGTAGATGGTTAGTAAATATTTGTCAAAATAAATAGAGTGAGAGAATTAGTTGAATAAATACATTGTAATTACTTAACATGTTTTTTTAGTAAAGGAAGTGTTATTTATCTCTTTTGTCCCTGCCTTTAGAGCCTCTGGATTTGTGTTTACTCGTTTGGATGGTTCAATGGCCCAAAAGAAAAGAGTTGAATCAATTCAGTGTTTTCAAAACACTGAGGCAGGATCTCCAACTATAATGCTTTTATCCTTAAAAGCAGGTGGAGTTGGTTTGAATCTTTCTGCAGCTTCTCGAGTGTTTTTAATGGACCCAGTAAGTAATTTTGTAGACTTTTGCTATGTTATTACTTCTATTAAAAAAAGAACAAAAACTATTTGGTAAATACCTATCTACACTAATAAAAGAGAAAAATGGTAATTGGCGTATGATGCTACCCTTTTCATTGGCTAATCAGGGCTATATGCAAATTAACTGCCAACTAAGATTGGCAGTTAACTGCCAACTAAGATAGGCAGTTAACTGCCAACAAGATGGCGGTTAATTTGCATATGTAGGCACAA